AGCTACAAATTTTATTGGCAAAATGGTTATATCATGTCAAAACATGATTTGTTTCTAACAGGTATGGTTGTTTGAAAATTAAATACATATTATTTCTAATAGATTTATTTAAATTAATTAAAAGATTTAATTAAAATATAGATTACTACTAATATAAATTACTTTCTTTGCATTGAAATATGTAATATAGAATAAAAAATAAATTTGAAAAAAATTAATAAATATGTGATAAATGTAGTAATAATGTTAAAATATTAAATAAAAGCATATTATGAATACGTGATTACTTCGCAAACTTGTAAGTTTCGTTGACCGAGGTATCGATCAAACTTCAAACCACTAATATTCTAAGAATGATGCAATTTAATGGTCAATATTCACGAAATTCCTTTGCTTTCGGCTGAAATAAAAGCGATATGATAAATATGTGTATAACTTGCATAAAATTTAATCTGTTTTAATATATAATATTGTAATATCACAAATAAATAAATAATATTATAACATACTTTATCAAATTACATCAACCCGCAAATAACATTTTTCTTTACTTTTGTTTTTATATTTTTCTTATCATTTTTATATTATTCAGTTTGAAGAATATAATTTCTAATTCCTAAAGACTTAAATATATAATATTATTAATACTACTAATTTTGAATGCGGCTTTTTCTTTTTTTCTTTTTCTACTCTTTTAAGGCAAATTAATGCATTAATTAACGTGTTAATTTGTTGGCGACTACTATTCTGTTATGCATCACAAATCTACATTTTCTAATGAATAATTAATAATTAATGATTAATAATTAATTAATAATATGTAACAAATGATGCAAAAATATATTATAACATAAAAATCCTTTAGGAAAGGATGCTGTACCTGCAATATCATTACATGGCCGAACAAAATCAATAAAACCGGAAATTACACCAGCACCGGGTGATTATAATCCACAAAAAGCAGAAAAAATAATTCTTGATAGCTCGCCGAAATATTCTTTTGGTATTAAAACACAAATCGAGAAAATCAACTGTACACCCGGTAAGTTTACTTATACAATATAATTTATATATTTTAATTAATCAATAATATATAAAATTTTTAATTCTAATGAAACAATATGGAACAATATAAAATGGAAAATGTGCAATTGTAAAAATATTTTTAATACTTTTTTGTTTATATGTATTTTAATATTATTTAATGAAATATAAATATTTTTATTAGAGTTTTTGTTAAAAGAAATATCCATCTTTTTATTGAATATGCATTATTGTCATAATCACATATTATTTCATCTTGAAAATGTATATATAGGGGCATTTAAAGTTAATATCTTTGAAAGTATGCATAATAGCAAAAATATTTTAGATAAAAGGTATGGTTTTAAGAGGAATATAAGATTGTGCTATTGTTTTGATCTTTGAATAGTTGTTTGAAGGTCACCTTCAATTTCTTAAATGAAAACTTCCACTTTTTATTATATATTCTTACAGCTTACCTCGACTTTTTCAAAACACTATATAAAGTATTTTTTTATTAACTACTTTCTAAGTTATGAGATTTAAATTTGACAATTTGATATAAAATATAAAATATCTCGTAACCATTCATTTTTTGGCAACTATATTTTAATACTTTCATGCACAAAGTAAATGTGGTGAATTGGTGTAAAGAAAACACATAGTTCCTATTAAAAAAAATGGAGATTTGCAATATGCAATGATGTATTCTTTCTAAAAAAAAAACTATATATTTTCTTTACATCAACTGATTCATCTCATTATTATTCTGTACATAGAATAGTAGATAGAGTAGTACATAGAATGTACAAGTATTAAGATATAGTTGTTAAAAAATGTATAGTTTATGAGATATTTTACATTTTATGTCAAATTGTATGTCAAATTCCAATCTCATAACTCAGAAAGTACGTAATACAAAATATTTTATTATAATGTTTTAAAAAACTGTCGAGGTAAGCTACAAGAATATGTAATAAAAAATGGGGGTTTTCATTTAAGAAATTAAAGGTGACTTTCACATGACTTTCAACTATTCAAGGTCAAACCAATAGCACAGTCTTATGTCCCCCTTAAAATCATATAACTTTTGTCTGAAACATTTTTTGTAATTATGCATGCTTTCAAAGATCAGCTTGTAATACTTTAATTGCCTCACTTTGTACATAATAATTCATTTTTTAAATTTATATATCTTTTATTCTTTGTTTAGAAAGTTATAATCTATATTATATTATAACTGTTTTAAAGAATACATTATAGATACAAACAGGTTTTGACATAACTCATTTATATCTACAATAGATACATTTAAATCCAGACTAATTCATTGTAATTATTTACTTTAATGTATTATAATATGTAATGTAATATAATTGCTAATTTATAGAAAATCTATAATTACTTCATTTACAAGAAAGAAAAAATTGATAGAGTACAATGTGTTTATAAAATAAATATTTGTGAAGTATTTTTTATATAATTTATATAACAAAACAAACTAATAATTATTAATAAAAATCATTATATAATAATAATTAATAAAATAATAATTAATATTTTTTTATAATTTAATATAATATAAATTTTAAATATATATTCTATTAATTAGTTCATAAAATGACTATAAATAGATTATGACAATAAATATTGTGAATAAAAATTTCAATTTATTTAAATAATTTATATAGATTTTTTTATTATTGCACTGGATTGCATTAAAATTTTTCTTCTCATTTTCACTCTGCAAACATTTTAAGTTCAATAAGTGTATACTAGTTTACTTAAAAACAGATCTTATATATATAAACAATCAAAAAACACCACTTACGTTGTATTCATATTATTGTGTTAATCTACGATAAAAGTATTAAAATTAAATATTGTATCAATCATAGTACTGAATGATTTTTATGCTAAAATTAAAAATCTCCACAAGTAAGTAATCTTCAATTTTCAGCATAAAAGTTATATTGCAAGGATTGAGTGATATTCGGTAGTTATACAATCAATATATGTAACTATAATTTGAGTATCTCATGTGCTAATTAAAATCTTTGATAAACTAGTAAAAAGAATTTATAGATTTGAATCGATAATAGAAAATAAAAAAAGTATGTTACGATAAAAAAAAATACTTAAATCTGCTTTGCTTCACATTAAATAAGCGTACTATTGTGACAGGACTAAAGAATAAAGACTAAGCATTGTATTTTCTTTAATCAAAATAAACTATAACTCTTTTTATATTATCGTTAATGATAATCTTTTTTCTATTAAAATGAATATCAAACAAACTGTATAATAAATAGGCATTGATTATATTGACAATGCGGAAAATATAGCAAATCACTGATCTCAAAAATAACATTTTAAAAGAACATATTAAACAAAAAGTGTATGGTTTCAAGGAAATATTAGAATAAAATATAAGATTTTTCTTGAATTATGAATTTTTTCATAACTTCACTTTAATACTTTTGTATAGAATGACTAGAGAAGTCATATAAAGATATATAAAAGAAGTTATATAAAAAAATCATGTAATTCTATTTAAAAACATAGAATCTATAAAAAATGACAATGATATTATTATCGAATGAATTAATATCATAATCATATAATCCTTTTGAACCTATATAAATGTATTGTTTTCGAGATATCCAAGGTTTTGATATATTTCCACATTCTGTGTATAATGTGCCTAGTTGAAAAAGGTTGATAAAAAATGATTAAGAATAGTAGGATTTCTACTCACATAGAACAAAACCCTCCAGTAGACATCGGTCATGGATATTCGGAACTTCCAGTAGACGGCCATTAGACTTCCAATAAACATCCACAAGAAATCCACATTTCCACTTTGTGGAAGTCTATGAGACCTCTATTAGACATCTAACAGACGTCTTCCATAGACGTCTGTTAGACGTTACATGGATCGCTAATAGAGGATTCATGGAATCTCGGTAGATGATTAGTTAATAAAAGTTAATAAAATGAATTTTATGATGCTGAATAAAAATATTTCTATGAAGACACGAAGTGCATATACAGAGTGTTCCAAAACTGCCGCATTTGGAGTACACTATGCGATTTTCTATGCTAAAAGAAACAATTTTTTCCTTTAGCAAAATTGCGTGTGACGAGTAGTTTTTACAGTGGATCAGATTAAAAATGACGAATGAGCGCGCGTATGTACATAGCAGTCAGGGTCGGCGCGCGTTCTTCAGACCAGCGCAACCTAGTACCTAATCTTTGATGACTTCACGTACTATATTGTTTAAAATATGATAAAAGTTAACAAAATAAATATTGTTTTCATCTCTTACGTAACAATTCAATAAAAAAAAATTATCTGATTTCGTAACAATATCTGGAAATAAAAATAAATGTAAATAATATGGAGTATAAATTAAGCATTCTATTTTAATTACTACGCAATTGCATATGATGATAAAAAAATACTGAATTTAACGAATACTTATTAATTATGTGAATACGTAATCACAAAGAGTAAAAAAAATTGGTTTTTTCATAAGTATTTAAAGATAAAATATTTATTATATTTATAATTTAAAATATTTTGAGACAGATTTGGTTCTCTCCTCATTTTCTCAGAAAAAATTTACAAAAGATTTATACAAAAATATTTATCTTCATAATATTACAATAATTACATAATCTCAAAAATAAAATTTCAATAATGGTTGTACCGATATCTTGAAACATTTTCACATATTTAATAAATGTATAAAATTATTTCTAATATCTTGTATCAGAGAAGTTAAAAAATTATAAAAGATTAAAATTATTTAAATAAAAAAGTATGAAAAATTATATTTATTAAAATAAATAATTTTGATAATTATGACCTAAACGTTACGTAAATAATTGTTTAAAAATATGTCAAAAATATAAAAATATTTTAAATATTTTGAAATAACCGTATTTAAAGTATTATACATATTGCGTATATGCTCTGCAAAAAATTTTTAAGAAGTTAAAAGAAACATGGTTATGTGTTAAAATTGTATAAAGACAAAAGTTATGTACATGGCGAAGTCATCGATGGTGAAAAGAGTCGGAAACACAAATCTTTGCCTCGCGGTCCGATAAATTGTTGAGATCGATATTGCATCGGAGCATCTATGTAAGTGTATCGTGGCGAATCTCCAAGTAAAGATACTATGCTTGAACATCATGCGACGTCACAATTAGAAAATCGAAAGTTGGTCTTAAATAGTAAAATCAAAAAAAGAAAAAACTAATAAAAGTTGATCAACATCAAAAAGTAATTGAACATGGATGACAATAGCGTATTAAAAACAGAATGTGATAATAAAGATGACTACAACTATGCCAAACAAAATAAAATTAGAGACAGCCAGTGGCGCAAGTTGAATAATCGGAAATTACAATATGATATAATATAACGAACAATATGTGGTTAAATACTGAAAGTCTGTGTAGGAATAAGACCAAGATCGATCCCTCTTATTAAGTTGGAAGAGCAATAATTTTATAGACAATGATTTATATAAAAGACTGATGGTGTTCTGCCGGAAGCTTACGGACTGCCAAAGATTCACAAACCAGGTTTTCTTTTACTATATATAAATATATAATTGTCTCCTCTATAAATAGTCCTTTATATCCTTTGACCTCCTTTTTACATTCCATCATATTAAAAAATATTCCTAAATCGCTCGGTTATATCAGTAACAGTCATCATTTGGTAGATAAGCTAAATGGGATATCGTTATGTCCTAATTATAGATTGGTATCACTGGATGTGATTTCGCTTTTTACCAACATCCCAGCAGACCTTGCGTTACAAAGCATTAAGAAGAGATGGAACTACATATCTAATCATATCAATATTCCGCAAAATGAATTTCTTCGTGCTGTCTCTTTTATTTTAGATTCAACAATTCATGTTTTACAAACAGATCTTTGGTAGTCTCATGGGCTCGCCTTTATTACCTATGATCATGGATATTGTAATGCAAGATCTTGAGGAGGTTGCGATTGCTAAAATTCCTATTGATCTCCTGTTCTACGTCAGATACATTGACGACATTCTATTAGCCTCGCCTCCTAACCTTCTTGAGGATATTTTACACAATTTCAATTTGTATCATGACAGATTACAATTCACTATGGAGATCGGGAATAATGACCGTATCAACTTCCTTGATACCTTGCTAATAATTAAAGAAGGAAGGATTATTTTCGACTTGTACAAAAAACCAACCAATTCAAGTAGATACCTTAATTTTCATTCTCACCAGCCGGTAGCTCACAAAAGAGGTGTTGTTTTTGGAATGGTCGATAGAACAGTTTTTCTTTCCCATCCTGAATTCCATATCAAGAATCTGGTAAATTCCATTAATATTCTTCTGAACAACTCTTACCCTCTGCAATTTATTTTCACAACGATAAATAATCGAATTAAACATTTATTACATAGAAAATTGCAGAGTTCAAACGTTGATTCCGATGTGGATACCATTGACAGTTCCGAAAATTACACTCCTCGCAAACCATTCTTCTCAGTTCCTTATGTCAAAAACGTATCTGAGAAATTTTCAATAATAATCAATAGATTCAATCTTAAACTAGCTTATTTAATAACTCTTAAACTAGCTTATTTAATAAATAACTATATTTAATAATTATTAAATATAGTTATTTAATTCCCTCAGCATATTTACTAAAACAGGCAAAGACACATTAGATCCGATGGCATGTCCTGAAGTAATATATGAAATTATTGCAAAGATTGCGATGCGACTTATGTTGGCCAGACAAAAAGATTACTTAAAACAAGAATTAATGAGCATTTCCACGTAGTATATTCCAAATGCGAGAGTTTTGGGACATCCTGTATATATATATATATATATATATATATATGCAGCGTGCAATGGAACTAATGAAATCTTTCTTGCAATGTTAGTATAATAACATCGCACATTTTTTCGTAGAGCCATTGGTTACCCATCCTAGTGATATACTATAGGTGGTATACTCGAGCTTGCTTCATCTAGTAATCGGTTGAAATCTACTATTAATGATATTATAACTAAATTTGTGATTTTGATATAAAAGTATGACAGATCTCTGATTAGTGAATGTTATCGCATTGTCATGCTTTAAATAGTTTCAATGTCAATATCCTGATTGCGTACCCACATAGAACAAAATCCTCCAGTAGACGTCGATCATGGATATCCATTAGACGGCTATTAGACTTTCAGTAGACATCGACAAGAAATCCACAGTTCCGCTTCGTGCAAGTCTATAAGATATCTTCCATAGACGTCTGTTAGACGTTAGGTGGATCGTTAATAGAGAATCCATGAAGTCTCGGTAGACAACCCACACGAAACAAAAATCTCTAATAGATGTCCATTAGAGATCCATCATGGTCCATCAGGTTTGTAACTTCCATTAGAGGTCCATGAACTCTCCAGAAAGCCTCTACAGGTAAAGTTAATAAAAAGAATTCTTTATGATGCTGAACAAAAATATTTCTTTGAAGGAACGAAGCGCACATACATACGTAACGTGCAATGGAACTAATGAAATCTTTTTTTATCTTATAAATGTCGGTAACGTCACATAATTTTTCCGAAAGTCACCCATCCTTGTAGTCTAGAGTGAGTTCCAATTGCGCATAGAATAAATCGGACACAGCAGGTTGAATGGATCAGACGCAATAAGGAAACAAGGACACAAGGTGATTGAAAATTGGTCACAGTACTAATCGGACACAGTAACAATCGGACACAGTGACAATCGGACACAGTGTCAATCGCACAGTAGGAAATGGACGCACAGATAGTTGCAATCGTGACGTTTTCCTAAAAAGGGTTAAAAGTGTTATTATATTCGAAATGCAAGATGCAATCTTTCGCCTTATTAAAATGATAGATCCTAGAAAGATTGGCAAAGTCCCCTACGCAAGGTTTGAAGAGTGAAGACGTAATCTTTCGCCTTATTAAATTAATGAGTCTATCATATACTAAAATGATAGATCCTAGAAAGATTAGTAACGACTCCAACCCCAAAGATTGGGTGTGAAGTTTTCGCTGATCTTTTTATTTTGTTACAAATATAATTTTGTATTGTTTTCGTAATTAGTTTTGTGATAATGGGGAGGCTTCGCCCCCCCTTTCCACCAGGGAACTGGTTCACCCTCTGAACTCCGACCAGGAGATTTCGCCCCCTCGTTCGAGAGACTTCGCCGATTAGTATTGTGTCCGAATTCAATCACCTTGTGTCCGTTTTGTATTGTGTCCATTTGGACCTATGTCCGATTCATTCAACCTGCTGTGTCCGATTTATTCTGTGCGCAACTGGGACTTCCCCGTAGATATACATGGTCGAGCTTGCTTCACCTACGTGATCGGCTGAAATCAGATACTAGAACAATAGTATAATTAAATTTAGAATTTTGATGTAAAAATATGACAGATCTTCGATCAGTAAATGTTATCAAATTGTCATAAGATTCAAATAGTCTCAATGTCAATGTCCTGATAGCGTGGATAATTTTTGTAGATAATTTAATTATACATAAAGGAAAATTATATATTATATGTTATATGTGAAGATTATATAATATATTATATGGATTAATATCATGCTTCATGTGAGTAATGTTTATAAATTTACGAATATATATTCTACTTACTCATTTATATATTTATTGATCGTATTAAATACGTGAGATATTTTTCTTATTTTTCGACAGTATATGTTTTCTTGTGTTTGGTATAATCATTTATATACAATCAAATACGAATAAATAAGATACATGCAACAAACTTTTAATTTATTTATAAGTATATATATTCTCAAGTTTTTCCATAATCATCTAAAAAAGATCTAAAATCTCCAATTAAGCTGTATATGATCCATAAAAATTTCATGAAATCTGTAATTCATCCATCTTCATAAAACGTCTAATGGAGGTTTAGTAAAGCTCCATTAGAGCTCCATCATGGAGATAGTAGGTCTCCATTAGAGATTTATCTGACTTTTACCATGGGGATAGATGTCACATGGAGGCCGTGGAGATTATGTGGACCTCTAATGGATGTCATGTTCCGTGTGGGACATCCACCGTGAAAATTCTGGACGGCTAATGGACGTCTATGATAGAATCCTAGAGCACCATTCTTCATGGAAGTTCGCTGAACGACTAATGGATGTTTACGGTAGAATTCTAAAGCACCATCCACCATGGAGATTCGCTGGACATCTAATGGACGTCCATGGTGGAATCCTAGAGAACTATCCACCGTGGAAGTTAAGTGGATCTCTAATGGACGTCTATCTGACTTCCATCGTGGAAATAGACGTTCGATGAAAGTTTAATGGAAGTTTAATAGACGTCCACTACAGGCTATGTTATATTTGGGTATCAATTTATACCATTTTCTATAAGCTGTATCGTACGGTCTGCGAGCAAGCAAATCATGCATGAATCCTATCATATTTTATCGGCTTTTATAAGATTTGTATTCTATAGGAAACAATAGGAATGCTATCACTCTAAATCGTATTCTATCTATTGTATCTAACAGAAGAATAAAATTACGAATATTTATCATTTTCTATCATTACAAATAACGGATAACAATAAATCGTATATTAACGATAAAAATTAAATCATTATCAATTTAGAATTTATTTAATAAATTCTATCGGCAGTATATAAAAACCTCTAGTCTAGTCTATAAAACCTTCTAATCGGTTTTTTTTAACCGAATTTGAAAAACTTATTACTTAACTCTGAATGTATATGAAAAATACGAACGAAACTCTGAATGTATATGAAAAATACGAACGAAACTTCGTAGATTTCCATCTGACTTTCCAGAATGAAAACATCTATATAAACTTATCATAATTTCACTATACAAAATGGATCTTTTTTAATCTGCAATTAGTCACTGAGTTTTCATCAGTAATGTGTGAAAGAAAATCTATATAATTCTATCGTTCGTTAATGAATTAAAATACTATTAAAAACTATCTGAATATGCGATATTAGTATTAATAGCGATCTATTTCATAGATTTCTATCCGATCTTCCAGAAATATCACTCACTCGCAAGCAGTACATGACACCGCCAACAAATGGACGTGACGAGATTTAATTCTCGTAACTAAAAAAATCATACAGAATAGGGTAAAAGGCATAACGTTAGAAATTCTTGAACCATTTTTTAGTGAAATGAATTATGATAAACGGTTTTTTGAAAATAAGCCCATAAAATTAATCTCTGGAATAAAAGTAAATAAAGTAAATAATTTAATGAGTACGTTCTGATAAAAGTTACCGATAAAAAACGATGGATTAAAATCCTATTAATTATAAATCCTATTAACTATAAATATGAAATCTGATTCGTGAATTTACTAATGTGAATCATGTATGATAAAAACTGTATTATAATATTGTAAGAATGTTTCAATATGTTCATGGCGTTTATATTATCATCTAATTGTATTATCGACGTCACAGCGTCGCAGCTATCGCTATCAGCTCTTTGCGGTTTTTAATTAAGTTCAAATTTCAATTTTGTTAGCGACGCAAGTTTCTTTTTATCGAGCAAGTGTATACGTTTATTTTCGTGAATAAAGTTCATTTTCAAGTCAAAACATTGATCAAAACATTAGTCCTTCAAGCTGAATCGAAGGAAACAATAAAATACACTCCACAAAGACACGTCAAGAAAGATCTGGCGTGAAAAATCATAAATACAAGTGACAAAGAGAGAAAGATTAAGATTTTAGAAAGATGTCTAAAATAATAAGCAACGACGAGAGCCGATTAAGGCGAAGTTGACGAGGCTGCAAACGAGAATCGGCCAATTAAATGAAAATCACACAAGTAAAGAACAAAAGTAAAAAAGTAGTAACATACATTTATTCATTATTAATTATTTTTATATTTGTTTCTGAATCTGACTTGAAAAATAATATTTACATAATTACTGCAAAGAATAAATATCATATTTTAAAATAAAATACAAAAAGAACATATATTTACATACTTTAATATTTATTAATAAATTATTATTTTTATTTAATACCTTTAAACATATATTTGTTTATATATTTGAGAAATTTGTTTGTGTAGATTTTTAAAAATAACATTTACATAATTAATGCAAGAAGATAAGTTAATGTAATAGGATAAGGATGTAACATAGTACAATAAATGTATGTACGTGTTTTAATGCGACCCGAACGCGCTAAGTTTTTGTATGTCTGTTTGATTTTAAGGTTGCTTTATATTGGTTCAGAATAGGAAGACTCTTCATTGAAAATTTAAATAAAGAATTAAACTACCACATGGATTAGAGTAAAAAGACTCTTCAATGAAAATACAAAGATATATAATACTTAGATTCGATTTTCTTAAAAGATTTTGCCAGTAAGGTTTTATTTTTCATACAAATAATACATATCACTTAGGTTTAGTGTAGTAGTAAAATAATGCAATTTTTATAATAAGATTTATAACTTGGCGACAGTTATTAATATTAAACCTTTTATACAAATGATGTCATTTGAGTTGAGTTGGCAATGTGGAAACAATTTTTTTTAATTGAAGTTAGTATCACTAGGGATAGAATAGGAAGAAAATACAACGAGCACTTAAATTACTAGCACTTAAATTTTATTTTTTAATTTAATCACAACTAGAATTGAGTTAGGTATGGCAACTTCGTAACATAATTTTTTTTAAAGAATT